TCGATGCTGGGTATTTCGCAAGACTCACCAGTGATCCAGCATGAGAAATTAACCTGGCACCAACCAATTCACCAAGTAAAATAGTAAGATTCGGTGCAAGCACCATCATTCGATTCTTCAAGTAATCTGCCAACTCGGAACGATAATTTGTCAATTCAATAATCTAAAAAAGTAATTATTATCAAAAACATTTTCATACCAAGTTCAAAGAAATGTTTGGTCAACTATTCTATTTGTTTCATGACGAATAATTTCACTAATTCACAATGAATCTCAAATTTACCTGTTCGCATAATCCTTTTATGTGCAAAGTATCAGACTCGGATATATCGGTTCCCATACTAATTTCTGCTTCCTGTTTAACACGTGCTTCCAACTCTGGTGGCAATATATCAGATAAATCACAGTTTGTAGCATTTGATCTCATTCCCATAGTTTTCACAGTCTAAACAAAAATGAGACTACAGAAATCACACAACATTCCGGATTAAAAAGTTGCTGCTGCCAGAGGTCTATTTACAAACCTTTATATACGTCTGGTGCTCTTGAATTATTTTACTCAATTCTGGAAAATGCCAACCGTACCACTCTCGACATCTAAAGCAGATTGTTACGCAAAAATGTTACGCGAGAATTAATGTTAAAATACTAAGCAAAAAGCAAATTTTTTTTAATGGGGTTGTCTGCAGTACTCTGGTACATAATAAATCAAACCTCATCACGTAATTGTTAATTTCTTTATCGAGATCATCAAGTAAAGACACTGCTTGCACAATCATCGTGTCAATTTTCTCGGGATTAAATTTAACCTGAAAAGCTTCAATTTTAGAGACAGCTGAAAAACATTCTGTCAGTTTTCTTGAGTCATCTGCATCTGATACAAAGCACTTCTTGCCGAAAAAATTGAAAACGATTCAATCCTACAATAATAAATAGATTTAGTGAACTTCATATATCACCTCCGGTCAGTAGCAAGTTAGCACTACATATATACATATATATCTTTACTTTATAACGACCCAACGAATGAGCCACAGCGAGATTCATAGAGTGTAGCTCTTGTTTGTGTTCATTTAATAAACTGTCCAAGTTTGCACGAATACTACGCATAAGTTCCTGAGTTGCTGTATTATAAACACAAGATACATCGAATTTTTCCTAGAAATACACGCTTTCATTATATACCTAAGTGCTTCCTTCCATTTTTAATATAGATGATGCCTTTATCTCGAAATACCTACAAGAGACATCAATGAAACTGATCACAATGAGGCCACATTGTTTTTCTTCAAAGCAAAATGCCTTCACCATAACTACGATTAGTCAAGGAACTGCTATTATAATGAAAGAATCAAAGTAATTATTGGCTGTATAAAAGTAGGTATGTTAAGAACTTTAAATGTTAAGAAGTCCGCGACCTCCGAAATATTTAACTGAATTCTATTTTCATTGAAAACACTAGAATTAATTAAAGGACTCACTTTGATCATATTTCCCAACTTCACCTCACCAACAGCAAGTTCTTCACCTTCGTGTAATTTTCCCTTCAGAGCTTTTTTCAGTGCCTTAGTTAACTTCCCTTCCGCCAGACGAGTAGCATTTTCTACTGCTTCTGCCGTATCCTTGAACTTTTTGAAAGAAATTAACTGCAACCTGAAGTTCAATATAAAGTTTAGTAAAAAGCTGTTCCAACGTTACAATAAGTATTTAAAACCCGCAACACTTTGTTACTCTTTTTCTGCATTTGCAAGGAAAAACAAAAATGAGCTAAAAAAAAAAAAAAAAAAAAAAAAAACCAAAAGAAGCCCTAAACAGTTATGTCGTGGTCTGGCAAATCATGATATATCTATCCCATTATGAACAACTATCTAATTATACCTCACTTATCAACAGTAACTGCAAAACTCACATCCTTTGCGCCTTTTCTGGTGTTGAGCACTCATTCCAAATATTATCCACATTTTCCAATTTCTTTTCGTCCAACAACTGAAATATAAAGTAAATCTCAAAAAACATTTGTGAATTCTCAGGACCACAATTCTAGCCTAACACTTTCAAATATGTCATACATGCTAATCCTACTCTACTCAGTTTAAAATGTAACCTTGAACAAAGCATATCCTGCGGGTGTCTCAAATAGCACCAACATTCTTCACCTGCAATGAAAGTGCGATGTAGAAAGGCTACGTCAACGTAAACACGTACACACCCGAAATTAGCAATGCTTTTACCTTCTTCCTCACGGCGCCCGACCTGTCCCATCATATCACTGCAGTTATGAAGAATTCCCAGCCAGCCGTGAAATATTGCACGGCTCCTAAATTTGCAAAGTGTGCTTGCCGAACGGTAGCTGCGGTGAGTGGCAATGTGAGTCGATGCAAGTTCGGCAGAACAGTGCTTGTTGAGGAAGAGATCGGCTATAGTATTTGATCTCGTATTTTGACATTCTTCAGTGGATCCTGAACACTCAGAAGTGCATGATGTCAGTGCTTTGTCTTCATAACACTGAGAAATTCAGGAATGGACTTGCACTTTTTAGGAGTACCTTATGAATAGTCAGACGGAAACGTCAAAAAGTAAACATCAACTGGAATGTCTAAAGAAGGAAGTTGGATCGAAACTGCGAATTTTTCCGGATTTTCCTAAGCCGGGGATCAAATTTGTGTAAGTCTTCCTCTTCTACTTTGTAAAAAAGTTCTAGAAGGATAAAATGTTAAATTGTGAGAATGTTTTTCGACATTACTGGCAGTTCTTCCATAATGTTACCGTAGTTTAAAGTGGTCAGTCTACACTGGCGCAAGGTAAGGAAGGTGTTAAAACTGCAGTGAGTAACAGGCTTCATGGAAGGTTTCAATGACTACTTCATTTAATAAAATCTCATGACACTAATGATATCGCTTACTTACTTTTTATTGAATTAGGAGACTTGTTTGCAGAGATGTGATGGTATTAATGCGCTATCCGCTACTGCTCGAAGAACTTTGTGCAGCAGTAGCTCAACATGCCCGTGTTGAAATGCCTGTCACAATAGATGCAGTTGCTGGTTTGGAAGCTCGTGGTGAATACATTCATTTTCAACGTTTTCAAAAAAACATTTCAACTGCTATACTCTAATTATGCACATATATTAATTTGCCCAAGTAAAGCTGGCAAATTTTTTTAAAGACCTATTTGCAAATAGTTGTTTGAGATGCAAGTAAATAAGCTGCCTAACAAAATTCAAACTTCTGTTGCTTGTGTGTTTTTGAACAGAATTTTTTATGTTTTGAATACTCAATGCAGGTTTCTTATTTGGTCCCCAAATCGCGATGATGTTGAAGGTGCCATTTGTTCCAATTAGAAAGAAAGGTAAACTACCAGGAAGAACACACAAAGAAGTCTATCAGAAAGAATATGGCGAAGTTAGTTGTTTTATTTCTTTTGAGTTTCGCATATAAGTGGGAATTTAAAATATAATTATATCTGATTGTAATAAATAGTTTCGACGATTTATATTGCTTTGAATTTTGTGATTGGATTTCGGAACCACTGCAATTAAACTTAATTCGTCTTTTTAATTTATGAGGGTCGTAATATTCTTTTCATTTATCTACAGGATGTAATCGAGGTACAAGAAGATGCAATCAAGCAGGGTTCAAAGATATTGTTGGTGGATGATCTTTTAGCAACGGGTGGTAGTTTAAAAGCAGCCGTATCACTGGTTGAAAAGGCTGGTGGTGACGTGGCTGGAGCGTTCACATTAATCGAACTTGCTTACCTAGAACCACGAAGACATTTACCGGAGCATATCCATATTCATTCTTTTATTACTTTGACTGAATAGAAGTCACCAACAGATAGATTACTTTATAACTAATTTTTCGACATTTCGTAGATTTAATTTTGATTGGCAAATATTGTTGTTATTGTTTATTATTATATCACATGCATGCATAAGATTTTTGTTCATTTTAAAATAAACATTTTTACAGTGGTGTCCTGTGATAGCACTACGGTTAAAGGGAAGATTTGAAAACCGTTCGAGGTATCTTGTAACATTGCTTTTATTAAGTTAAATGTAAAGGTGGTCACTGCAAAGCTTAAAACAGAAGCGAGTTTGATCGGGTGAGGAATGGCGTAGCAAAGTGGAGAAAAATGTTGTCGCTTGGTGAAAGTAATGAGCAGTCTCCTTGTATGTTCTCTCATCTATTCCAGTATATATGGTAAAATACGGTAGTTCCGAATTGTCAACGAATTTGAGACGTTGCTTCCGTGTTCTGCCTTTAGGTATTGGGCACAATTGGAACAACATAATCAATCAGATCCGAAGAATCAGGACTTTGTTATTTTATCTTTACGGCGGTTTAGGGCCATGAGTAATCAGTTCATCATTGGACATTTCAAAATAACTCTTTTGGTTCGTAACCGGAAGCTTAAGATTGTTGAAGTGATTTCTTCGCTGTTTTCTGTTTATTATTGCTGGTACTGCGTCAGTGTTATTTCTAATATGTCCATTAAATAGAAGATGACAGTGCGCTAAGACTTCAATTTTTCGAGAAATTTAGAAGAAATTTTAGTTTTTTCTTGCCAACTAAAAACGAAAGGTTTTGCTTTCATTTTTTTGTAATAAAAATAGGTCAGTTATTATTGCTTTTCTCTTTTATTCTATAAATTTTACTATACCACTAATTATTTCATTATATATATATGTTGCTCTTTCACAATATATTGTTTTTTGGATAGCGTCAAGGCGTTTCTATTTAAATATAACACCTCGCTTTTTCATGGTGCTCATTTCTATTTTTTTGATTTGGCGTCGGCAGTTATTTTGTCAAACTTCATATTTATTAGTTTATGATTCTTCCGTACTTTATTCTTCTTAGCGTATGAATTATATTGTGATTTAAATCAGGTCCAGTCTTGGTTTCTAATTTATTAGTAAAATAATAAAAGTTCAATGCAAAGAGCTATTTTTGCAGTTTACTGATTTGATGGCTAAATACAAGGGATAAGTAGAAAAGATGATGAATTCAACTTGGTTGAAATTTATTCTTTTGATTGTGATGTTTGCTGTTACTTTTGGCGCGGGAATGGTGCCAGTAAAAGTACGTTGCTTTATTTATACAACTTTTTATTTTGATTTCGTATTACTATGTCGGAATGATGATTACCTGTATAAATATAAAATAACTTATTAAGCATATTGCAGTTATTTAGTTTGCAGGGAACAGTAAGCTTTGGGCCTTCAGTGTTGTTGAAATGAACATAGTTTTTGAGATCACAAAAATTTTTGAATCAAAAAGAAGCTGAATTTGACATCAGAAAAGTGAATTTGTAAAAGCAGTAGGTTAGATAGTGACGGTGCTATTGTAAGTCTGGAAAAGTTCTCAGAATTGGAAGAATTCTCAGTTTCGGACTATGGTCTCAGGAGATTTCAAAAGATTTCAGGTACTGAAAATTCTTCGGAAGCATGCAGCCTCAGCATCTACATCCGCGAAGCAGCGAAACGTCTCGTTAGTGCTGTGTTTACTTACTTGTTTTTCTGGTGGTGTTTTCTTCGCCACGTGTTTTTTACATCTCTTTCCGGAACTCACTGAGCATCTTCATGAGGTTATTTCGTCTGAATTGCATTTTTCATTTGAAAAATAATGATATCATTTTGCAGTTACTCGAAACATGATCACGTGATTTAATAACTGTAAATTTGAAACTGCACTTCTCCAAGCGTAATTTTTTCCAGGAATTTTCAGTTCGCTTGGAAACTTTCTTCTTTTCTGGATTCATTTTAAAATTCTGTTCTTCAGATATAAAGAAGCAGTAGCTCGAAATTGATGTTAACTAATCACTGTCATTTGTTTAGATGAAAAAAGAATATGGGTTTTCTGTGTCATATCCCCTGGCTGAATTATTGTCGTGCATAGGTTTTTCTCTTATTTTTTGTCGAAGAAGTCATTTTGCTTCTTTTACCCGGTGCTGGTCATTTACATGCTCCGACAGGTGCTCAAATTGCTGAAAGTTTCTGTGAACGGTGAGTTATTAGTAAAAAGAATTCTCAAACGGTTCATAGATTGTTGAACTATTCTAATTGGTTAGTTGCAACATCGCTCAATAAAGATATAGCTTGCTTAATACTGGTAAAGTAACGATTTTGGATATTAAATGCTAAATTTATTAATGATTCTAAAGGTAATTGCTCCTTTGTTTCATAAACATGATTTATTACGGAAGCAAGTATAATTGAATATAATGGTTAAATAATGAAATGTTGCTGTCCGGGAAGATTACACTCATAGGTCATGAATACATATATAACACCTAGTTTAAATATTACGAAGTATCTGGTACTGAGTATTTTACTAAGATGATAAATATATATATAAAGTTTAAGTTAGGATTTTTGCCGCTGGCGTGAAGCTTAATAAAGATCGAGTAAAGTTAGAATTTGAAGTTTTTGGAAATAAAGTATATATTCAATTCTATATTGCGTGAATGGCGCACCTTATTGTGCGTTGCTAGAAAAGAATTATTTTAATTTGTTTTCTGAAAATTTATAAATGCAAATGAAATGAATAGGCATAGCGTTGTTTAGGAAAATGATGAGTAAAAGACAAATTTGACGAGTGTCAAGCGATACTGTACAATTGAAAGGGATGACTGATTCTATAAATTTTCTGAAAATAAATGTGAGGTGCTTGACTAATTTGCTAGTAGTCAGTAGGTGAGAGTCAATATGGCAAATACAGAAAGTAAGGGAAAAGTCAATATTTGATTCCGTAATTACGCAAATCTAATAGTTATTTCTTTTTGATATGACATGACTTACCTCTATTGTGGGTATAAATAAATTTTAATACTGAGTGATTTTGGATATTGCTAATGGCAATGGATTAGGAGCTGGTTGATTTGTAGTTCTCACAGTTTTTCAGTTTATTATTTAGTTTGAAAATATCGAAGCTTCAGAAACCATGACGTTGATCACTGTTGCCATGAAAGTGTTAATGTCGATGCTTCCTCGAAAACTTGCCTGTCATGTGGTCCTAAAGGTAATTTTTAAGCATCGACCAAATATTGACTGCTTTACAGCTTCTTGCATTCTGGAGGTTCTTCTCACACTTATTCACTTTTATGCTTTAGGATGGAAATAAACTTGTTCACATTACAGACGAGGACTCGTCTAGAAAAGGATTACTATGCACAATAAATTCATCTAATCGAGCACCAGCGGGTGGTCAGCGCGTTAACAAAGGACCTGATTATGGACATCCTGCAGAGTAAGTGTGATGCTTTGACAACGTTTTTTCAACATTTTTGTGGATTTTAATTATTTTTTTATTTGTTATTCCGACATTTTTGCAAATGTTGCATGCAATAAACTTATTATTGGTTGAGGGCCTGTTTTGTCCTTGTGCATCTGTGATGATTCGAATCTTTGCATGATATATTGAAGAAGAGGCATGATTTTTTGTAATTTTTCTGATTTTTCACCGTTTTTTGAACAAAAGCATGGATTTACAGCTTTTATCTCACTTTTTTTTCATATTGAAATTTAGTGGAAAAGACTCAACGCCTTTGCTCCAAAATTATGCATACAGTGGTGAATATGGTACTATGATCCGGAAATCTTGTGGTCAGGAATCATCAGATAAAGGAAAGTACTCATTTGCGGCTTATCCTTTAAATTTTTGCTAGTTTAACATTTATTGATCGTTTTATAACTTCTTGCCTAATTTTCTTTTTATTTTCTTTTCACGTCACTGTTAAAATTGCATGAAGGTTTATACTGATTACTGTGTTTAATTATTTATATTCGTTAACAGTAGATATTTTTATTTTTTGATGTTATATGTTGAAGATTAACTGCCTGTCTCTTAAGCTTTATGTATTTTCATAATTTTTGTTGCTTATGGCATGAGTGAAAAGATATTTTACATACACGTCGAAAACTTCAGTCATGAGATTGATTCTAAAGAAGTGAATATTCGATATTTTCAAGTTACCTTATACATATTATTAGTCAAATAGAAAAAGCAAGAAATATTTGCTCTAAAAGTGACTTGTTTAGTTTTGAAAGTAATGCATATTGGTCATAGTAGAATTCTTCGTTTTCATACTTTATTATGCTATTTCATACTAAGATGAAATTTATCAGTTTCATCTGAACAAATGTGCTGTTTGTATCCTATCTGTTCAAATACACAGAGAGCTATTAAAACTTGCCGGATTATCTTTTTGATTATCCCTTATTTTCTTATAGGACATTGACATTGGCTGAACCAGAAGCATGTGAACGAAACTGCGATAGTGTTAAAGAAGATCCACCAATTTTGATGAAAAGTCGTCCTCATGCTCATAGCCATGGTGTACGTAGTATCACATTCGTCCTGGCAATATCGTTTCATTCAATCATTGAGGGTCTAGCTTTCGGTGTTCAGGTTTGGCAGTTTTGTTATTTTGATTAAGGAAACGTCTGAAAATATAACAGGAATATGGTCAGTTGCTAAGAAAACACAAAACAGAAAAGTTGGGTAATACTAGCTGCAGTCCGAAAAGAATGGGATTTTAAACTTACATAACATTTTTTTTTTTTTTGTTTTTATCTTAAATTCGTCTCTTTTGTTTTCTTAATAGCTTTTTGTTTTTCTTAAATGCAAATTCCTACTATAAAAATTTTGCTTTCGATATATCGTCGTGTTTCAAATTGTTGCAGACTGATAATGCTCGAATTGTGACACTGTTTATATCGTTAATGGTGCACAAAATTATTGTTGCATTTTCGGTTGGTCTGCAGTTGGGCCGCACTCACGCACATGCTTTAGGATGGGTGTGCCTTAGTATGGCTCTTTTTTCGATCATGTCACCTTTTGGCGGTTTTATTGGTACATTTGTTCAAAGCTCACAAATGGATACACAAGTGAAAGCTCTGACAATACTTACTTTTCAAGGAGTTGCTGTTGGTACATTCATTTATGTCACGTTTTTTGAGGTAAGATTCATATTTTTATTTAGAAGACTTGTTAGAAACATTTTTAATCTTGGCAACACCAAACAGTGATATCGAAAATCTGATTAATTCTGGGAGACGAATTATATCGAATAATAACAAACATTAAAAACCATTTTCAAGTGCTATGTGTTTTGCAGGTTTTGTTACACGAACGAGATAACGAGCATCCGAATCTTTTAAAACTTATTTTTATGTTGATAGGATTTGCATTGATTGGTGGGCTGCGGTTTTTTGACAATCATTCTCATGAACATTTTGATGGATCTCTTCAAAACCATGGAGCTCTTGTCATCACCTCAACCCCATAGTATCTCGTCCTTCAGAAAGCTGTTAATTCAATATTTGTTTTTAACCTCTGTAAATATTTCCACAGGGTAAAGACAGTACTTTTATTATCGTCGTGAAGTTGGGTCATTTTTATGACTTAAATTTCTCGTTCAGTTTTCAATTTTACTTACAAATTTTACGCGATGAATTATGTATAGGGACACGAGACTTTTCAAATTCTTCAAAGAAGACAGTCCTTACAGATATGTTACACTATTCCCATTCATGACGCTCATCAGACTGTTTGGATTCACTAAGTCTATGTATCCAACATCTTCATGCATATATCTTCTTTCTTAACCTTGGAACAAAATAAAAACTATCAGTTATGGAACTGCAAGCTAAGATCTGAATCGCAAAATATTGTTGGCATCATTGAATGAATTTGATTAACACTTGCATATTTTATACATTGACTTTGATAATTATGGGAAGTTTTATTTCTTATATCTCTTTTTCTTGGTATTATTAAATCTCACATTTTGTGTAAGAAACTAGCAAAATCGTATCAGTCAGACTTGCACTGAGTAAAATATTTTAATCACTTGTGAAATGTTTTCATGATAGAATACTCTATGTAAAGAAACGAGGCAAAGAATTGCAAGAAATTTAAGCTAAGAACTGCCGCATTTTCATTCCGAATAATCTTTCGATTGCATAAGGTCAACTTCATATCTATCGTCAAAGATAAAGAAATTAGGATATATAATTCGCTTAGCTTTCATTGGTACATTTATTTTTGACAAAAACCATGTAACGTTGATGAGTTTATCCGTCGTCAGAAAAATTTAATTGCGCAAAACTTGCATATCATCATATCTAGAAATAATAACTTACAACGCTTATGCTTACTCTTTACAAACATTCGTCTGCCGTTCAAATAGAAATTGATTTGGAATATAGGAAACCTGTAGATACAACTTTAATAGTGACATTTGGATCTCATGATTTCCATAAAAGGTAAACCCGAAATATGTTTAAAAATTCGCATTCATTGGCGAGTTAATAATATTTCCTTATCCAACTTTTATTAAAAAATCAGGTCTACATATCCAAAATCATTGAGACATTATCTGTGACTCAACCTAAGGCGATATCAAATGATCTGACAAAGCTATGTTTTTCATTCCTTGCATACTGAAACAATGGAATTTTATTGCATCAACTAAATTTGAGCGAGTGAACAAGCAAAAATAGTTGACATAAGTCTATTATAAACGGCGAAGTATAACCAGCTTTAATGGTCCTTCCGGACGTGATCGAAGCGTCTTCGTTGCTTCTAAATAACTCATACCTCTTATATCTATACCATCAATTGTGATCACTTGGTCACCAATTTTTATACGACCGCTACGTGCCGCAGAACCGCCTAGAAGTGAGTTAAAATGAGTTAGGTAATTACTCACTATGTAATCAGCGTTAGATAAGTACTACAATTTAATGCAGGACATCGTTAAAAATTAAAATGTAACTTTCTGAGAAAAGCTAGAGACTCTGCAAAGTTCTTTTTCTAACTAAAGCATGTACTTTCAAGCATATCGCTATTTCTACGATAAGTGATAACTTACCTTCAAAAATCCTTTTGATAACGATTGGGCGGTCGCCGAACACTGATCCACGACCACCATCAAGTGCCAAACCGACACCGAGATTACCTTTTGTGAGTATCACTTCTTCGGAATACGTTGAATAATTGAATAGATCAGGATCAGTAGTAGCTAACCAGAGGAAAAAATCCATTAAAAAGGTTTTTTTAAGGAATTTATAGTTCGTTTTTTGCACATTTTTAATTCACTAATTACTATTAACTTGTACAACAAAAACAGATTGTGCTTTTACTGAGAACATCTAAAATGATTTCACCAGTGGAAACAAATTTAGTAGGTTCAGCTGGCATGTCATTTGATTTTGTTTTCAGTCGTCCGAGTATAAAAACAACATGTTCAGTCCGTTGTTTGATTAAGGTTCGTGCCTCTGTGGCTGACATCTGGAACAAGAGTAAACTGATCCATTTATGTTGTAAGAAATCAAATTCAAATATTCTGCAAGATCAATGCGCAAGAATTGCTTTTTATGTTCTAAACCCTTCTTTTTTTACATTGAAGATTTTAACTTTTCGATAACAAAAATTATAATGCGAAAGATAAGCAACAAGAAAAATCAACTGACCTGTTTTGTAGAGTGACCCTGCACGGAAGAAAAACACGATCACCTTTTTCGATGAGATCGCTTCGATCCGCAATGCTACCCGATATCACTCTTTGCACCTGAACATATAAAAACCACTCTTCGACTGCTCCGCACAATTAATTAATCGATTATTTAAACCAATAACGAATACTCACGCTGATATATTGGTCACCGGAAGCTGCTGAACTCAGAATTACACCAATTGAACCTTCCGGATTATTTGCCGATCTTTTCAGTGTTACTTTGAAAATATCATAATTAGCAAATTTTTCATCCAACAAACTTTTGCATTCCATTAACTAAAATACTTTAACAATATTAAATGAATATTGCAAATAGAAGCATTGTAGTTTCTATCAAAAAACAAGCACATTTCTTTAGAACTTTAAAACAATAATTAAGTGAGGTAGTAAAGCAAACAAAAAGCGTATTGTTTATCTTTCATAATGTTCTTTTTTGTTGGAATAATTCCTCATTTGCGAAAATATGGAACAATCAATAAGAATTTAACAATAACGGAATCAATCAGATATTACCTCCGCTTCAGATGGCTTTCCTTGCTTATGCAATCCACTGCATGATGTTACCTCCTCCATTGCTTGAAATGCTGATTGTTCAGCTTTATCTACTTTAAGTGACCTTCCAACTATGTCATCATCTGCCACATTATCGAAACATGACAAAGTAAGTCCTTCAATATTTATTTTTTAGGAAGTAGTGAAAATACATGAAAACTGCACAGATATCAATTGTGCAATCCTCATTCTGACTAGCTGATCTTACAGTTGGAAAATTACATAAATGAACAAAGTTGTTTTTGAACCTTTCATAATTTCGAAAGAAGATTCCATTTCTGATAGACAAGAATACATTTTTGCATTCGGCTTTTGTTCCATCACGGATGTGTACATTTCTGGGGACTCTTTCCGTTCCGTTATAATCGAGGACTTTTTCTCAACTTTTTCAGATTGTCGGATAATATTCAAGGATTTTCCTGTTTTGATATTTTCTTCGACAATAGAGACAAATTTCTTTTCACCATCAGTATGAGATGCCAAGATCATTGGAAAAGATTCTGCATTCTATAAAGAATTATTCTGATGCTGTGGACATGAAACATAGTATTGCTAAAGACGATGAACATAATATAGTTTGAAGAGAGAGTATTACGAAGACTGTTCACAAATTGCTACAATTGATAACATAAGATGTGCATTTGCTAAAGACAAAAAATAAGAATATGAAATTTGTGATAAAAACAAATTATCGTAATGGTACTTATACAATGGCTCTTAATTAGGACTTGTGTCACTATTCCATTAACTAAAATTTGAATTCCCTTCTAGTGAATTTATCAGCTATGGTTGAGCTATTTTCCTCCCAATATCTTTTTAACTTAAAACTTTTCTAGTACTGTTCATTTTCTGTTTACTACTCCTTTCCATAAAACATGAGAGAAAGAACGTGCTACGTATTAGCAATTTTCTAAACAAATTACTTTTTTTCTAAACAATTAGATAAACAAATTACCTTTTCAAAGGATGCTCTCACTTTTGTAAACAAATTTTCGGCTCGCGAAACAGTTGCGTTCTCAGTAGTTGAAAATCTATTTCTGGAAGTTCCAGCATAGGTCGCATTCCTTCCAGTAAATTTGTCGCTCATCACTCTACTGCCACGATACGGAATTTTCTTTGAGATCTGTAGATTCAGTGTTGTCCCTTTCGGAGCACCACTACTACTGCTTCTGATCGCAGTAGACTTCCTCGGATCAATAACACCTACGATGCCTTGAAATGTTTTCGGTGTTGGAACTGCACCATTATCGGCTTTTGTGAACTACAAAAATTTTTTGATAAATCAAAAATCGGAGTAAAAATACCTGGCGGAAATAAGGAAGAAATTGTAATTTCAATCAGATTTTAGCCGAAAAGACCATCGCAATAGATCAATCATAGCTAAATAGATCAATTAGCAATATTAATAATTTCAAATATAGGAAATCATTGCTCATAGCAGAATCACAGAGGATTTCAAACACAGTTAGCATCTTAGCGAGCCAATCTAATCCACTGACTTAGACAGTTAGCTCAGTTATAATTATAAAAATAAAATGAAAAGAAAATCTACCTTTTCAATAAGTTTATCGAATGGAACTGGCTTATCATCTCTGGTACGCCGTGGAGCAAGTGGCACTGCCGGTTTTTCGAATTTTTCATTTGATGATTTCGTAGTTTGCAATTCTTTAATGGATGATGTCCTGTCAATTTCACGAGAGTGTTCCCGTTTCTTCAATACAGTAGAATTTTCGCGCGTGAAAGGGATTGATTTCGTAGAGACGATTGAGCCAAACTTCTCAAACTCAGCTGCAGCAAACTTTTCTGAAACAGATACAACGCTATTCTTTTTGAATGACACATCTATTATATATATACCAGCTACTTATTGCTTATATCCTAGCTGGTTATTCATCAAGTGATTTGAAGTTCTTGAAATAGCTGTTTCCACATAGTGAAAAATTGGACTTTTCTGCAGTTGAAGGAATCATTTCTGATCATCTCAAGCAAGAATTAAGTTCCAAAAACCAAATTTCGGCTGCCGGAAACTAAGACAAAACTAAGAAAAATAAGATTATTCAATATCGTTCTCAAATTCTTCTGAAGACGGTAGAGAGATATTTTCCACAAATTATTCACTAAGATAAATGAAGAATAATGGAAGTTTGGGGAACATTTGAATCAGTTATTTGCCGTGTAAAAACATCAAAAAACAAACCGCTACCATTGCCATTTGTTAATGAATCAGACTTCTGAGAAATAATCCGGCTAAGTTTTGTAGCAGGTACAAATGAAACGAAGTGACTTTTCTTGATATCCGAGTGTGTTTCTGATTCCGAACTATTTCCGTATTTCACAGCAGAATTTTTGAATGACTCTAGGTTTTCATTATAAGCAATACATTTCTCGGTTTTCACCAGCTGATTTTCTGGCTTTTGTTGTGAAACCATCTCAAATTCTACGTCACGAAATAGAATCTGAAGTGGAGGTCCTTCCAGGTTAGTGCCACAACTTTCTTGATCATGTCCCGAGACAATTTTAAAAAGAAAAAGTTCTGGCACTGTTATTTCTTGAGCCCTCATAAGCGACTGTTCAGGTGAAGCATTCCTTGATTCCACAGATATATTATGAGGCAACGATTCAGTAACAGAATCAGACGACATGTGGTATCTGGAAAGCAAAAAGATTTGATGAAATTGATTAATAGAGAAAAGAAAAAAATCACTCTGCTAGACTGGAATTTTGAACTGATTCGAGTTAAGTCAATAAAGAAACCAAGTGAGTGGTGGCAAAGATTTCAATGGATTTTCAATTAATCAAGTCTTGAAATTGGAAGAATTTAAATTGAATTAAAATATTTTTAAGTATGAATAAAAAAATTTATTGCTGAGCAATTTTTGTTCAGAATATTCAAGAAAGTAAGTATTCCTAACAATTTATTATACAAGTAAGATTTACATCTTGTAGGCTGATAAGTGCTTCATGGTAATTCCATCATCATGTTGTTTTCCAATTTTATGTTGCTTATCTGTGTCCAACGTTTCCACTGTTTCCTTTGCCTCAGATGAATTATCATACAGTAACTTTGCTGTAGGAAGATTTGTTGATTTTGTAAGAAAGTCCTCCAGTTTGTTAACTATCCGTGGATAGCAATGGCAATTCGAAATTTGTGCTTCAGTATGTAAATTTTCCTGGAATTTTGAACAGAGGTCATTCGGCGATTCTCCTATGGATGCTTTCGACTTTTCGCCTTCCTGCTCATTCATGTACGTCTTATTTTTTTGCATCTCACTTTTCAAGCAAGCATATTTATAACTCTTCTGTACCGAAGTTTCCTGCACTGATCGATTTGAATTTAATATTCCACTGGATGAAAGAATATTGAAAGGAGCTGTTACATTATTTGATTCTTCACGTGCTGGGGTTTCTGCAAGCGTAGTTGAATAAGCAGGTTGATGCTGCTGCTCTTGTTGAAAAGTGCATGCAGGAAATGTTGCGAGAGTATGATGTTCATTCAGATAAGATTGTTCCGAGGTTTCTGGATGAATTGCGGGATTCGAAGAAACACTCATATTCATAAACGACGGTAATATTGGTTGTCTGGAAGGCATTATTAGTGGAGCAGAGATTGATGGAACGGAACACGTCTCTTCATCTCCTGTTGGCAGATGAAGCGTAGAGTTAAGAAAGTTCGGTCGACTGAAAAAAATAAGTTATGGAAAGAATTTGCTAATGCAGTTTGAAAGTAGATGAGACAACAACAAGTAAACACGATAGGGCATAGCTTCTGCTGCCTTGACAAACGTCTTTTCTACAATATAACACCTTGATCGACCGCTTAGTAAGATGCGATCGATAACGTTATCTTGGTTCCGGTAAAACTCGGAGTCGATCTTATGTCAGTTTTGACTTCCACTGGATTCTTTATAAACATTTCAAAGAAATACTTGGCGGCGAAACGTCGATCGAATTCATCGAACAATGGACTGGAACAATCTGGGTCAGAAGCAAATACGCTAACATAAGTTGGCTTGTGTTTGATATTCCCACGACTTCGGGACATAGTTCGTTGTGCTTTAGATTGCTGATGCTGTTGTAACTGATCACTGTGAAATCCGGAATCGTTACTGCTTGGTGAATGATTACTAATTGTTTTGAATACCATACCAGTAATGTTACCATTGTTATCATTGTTATTGCCATTCACAGATGATATGGTTGTATCTAATTCTAAAGCCATTTTACTACCTGCAAGTTTTTCATTTTGAAAAGATTTTGCGCTCAAAACAAATTTAGCTTATTCATGAATGCAGCGGAAATAGCACTGCCAAAGTAGAAGTAATACATCGCTCGAAAGGGGAAACAAGCTATTAAAGAGATAGACCAAAGCTATTGTAACATATTACAAATATCCAAGGACAAATATCACCATAGCAGTGCAAACAAAATTGCCAATCACACAATCTTATCGTAAGTAGTGCTCATAACATATAAGCACCTTTAATTAATCAGATTAAGATTTTAAGAATGAAATACAACCAGTTGATAATCTCAGGAAAAGATTTCAGCTTTTTTGACAACACAGAATCTTATCTAAAGAAGCCCTCTGGCAGTGAATGAAGACGGAAAGAAGAAGGACAACACTAACTAATATAAAGCCTCCTGCAACAGACGCTGATACAAGAAATTAGAACCGTCTATATTAGAACTATTTAAAAAACACAACTTTACTTCCAAGAAAAACATAACTATCGAAGTGTGAGCACAAAGAGAAACTAGAAAAGCTACATGGGATAGATACACACTGTTGCAAAAGGTATTTTATTACGATGGAATCATAAAACACGATTGTTATTCGATTATCTAGCTTTATGACCCAATTCGAATACTAATTTACCTATATATAATTTCGAAGTCTACCCACTAATTTCTTGAATCAATCTTGCAGTAAGGAAATATTTTCCAATTTTTCCAGTTATAAATATCCATGAAAGAATGGATGAGCATTGCGAAGTGAAACATGAGCAAATGGATGACTGAAAGGTTTCCAAAAGTAAACAGGATAAGCAGAACTGAATGCTTTTTTCAAGGATATGAAAATGAATTTATCCATAACAAACATACAAATAATCCCTTTTTCCTTCACATTTCTCATTTCTCACGTGGGTCACGTGTGAAACAAATAAACGAATTTGAGTGCTGAGTTTTATAAAACATCTCATCTGCAAGATAACGAAAGTAGTGATGGTAGTTATGAAAATAATTCACTAAAAATGTTGTAGTAATTTAAAATGGGAAAAGGAACTAGATTAGAGAATAATAAGTCTGTTTATAAGTATATTTCAGCTTAATTCAATTTAACCAATAATAATGTACTTACGCAAAACAAAAAAATGAAAAAAATGAAGCTAGATCGAAGCTGAAAAAAAAAGGTTAAATTCAGCATTCCAAACTCGCATGATCCTGAAAGTTCAATCTCTCTAATTATAGTTATTTTAGCTAGAAATTAGTCAGAACAAATATAATCAGCTCAGAGCTGAGCCATTGTTAAGTTTTCTAATTATTAATTTATTAAATTATTAAGTTTTTCATTCAATAATGTCTTATAATACAAATTTTTAGAGTTTTATAGTGCAGAGGTTGACCGATGAATCTTCAATAGATAATTATTTTGTCATCACAGATAAGAGGGACGACCGAACGTTAACTTTCAGATGTTTGTATTTCATTTTGAAATCACTTAGGTGAGATGCGTATTATAACTTTCCAAGCCGAGCAGCTTTGAAAATAAATCACTGATTGATTTATTGCTTTAGGTCAAGCGTCAAGCATTCTATCTCATAACATTGTTTACTCTTATTTTATTAGCATTTAAAGAATATGAACATAGAATCTTCAAGCAGTATAGAAACTAACGTCAGCAGCTATTAGAATTAGACTTTCAGGTAGAAGTACTAAATGCTGATCAAGACAGAAATAATTATCCAGTCCTGAAATGGAACATAATTAATGTCGGCATCTCGGTCAGAATCGCATATTTGGTGTTTAGTAAATATTTGTAATTGATCTTAGTCTTCATTACAAACAAATAGTCAAATCTTTAATCTTAGAAAAACCTACTGTATGGAAGAACGAGTTTAATTACAAATTAGCTGATAAGATAAAGTGCACGTTGAAAACGAAATAATCCGCGGATAACGAGAAAACATGAGAGGACGTAAATTGAATTGAATAAGTTGATAGAAGAGATGAATAAGCAGAATGCTGGAAGATGCAAGACAGTATTCAGTAGAAAAGCTTTTTCCTTTTTCCTCTTTCTTCCCTTCCTCTCTCTCTCTCTCTCTCTCTCTCTCTCTCTCTCCAAGAAAAAGAAAGAAAAGAAAAGGATGGATTGATGGGTAGATGCTTTGGTGATCGAATGTTAGCAAAGTGAGTCATTCATTTGTTCATTGGGAAAAGTGATGATGAAAATGATGAAATAGTTTTTGTATCTTTTGAATAACGAGATATCCGCGACCTCTGTCACCTTGTCATCTTGTTTGATCTTCATCTCTCCGCATCAGGTAAACATTCTGCTCATTCTGTTACAGCGAAAAAAAAATCTTGACTTTTCCATCAGTTTCTGAAGTACTTTTCATGCTAAGGAGAAAAACAAAAGAGAATACAAATAAACCAGAAAAAAAATATCAATTAAATCGACAACTCAAACATAAATAACTCTGTGAAAGAATTCATCTTCAAAAAATCATGAAAACTTTAGAACAATTAGGGAGATTTGTCATCAAAAAATTCTCCTGCCGAATCAGTTGACAGCTGAACCAAATACTTCTAGTGCGATTTATTTAACATATGATAGTCTCCATGTAAATCAAAAAATCTCCTATGGCTGAGGGATTTTAAATAATCTGAATCCTGAAGAATTCAAAACAGTAAAACTTAAATTTCAAATCAACTCTTGCATCAATTAATCGAGTCCTTTCTCCTATCTCCAAGAGTTTGGTAAATAGGTCTCAGATACCTCTCACTTTTTTATAACTTCTTTTAATCCTTCTTTTCAGAAACCTAAAATCCAAACTCAGTACATCTATTCGGCAAAGGATTATTTTCACAAGGCTCCACGAACACAAAATTTCTCAGGATCATGATAACATTTCAAACTTGGTCAATCCTTCGCTCTTAACTAAGACATTAATATTTAACTTTAATTAACATTTTATTAAAGTAAACTCATACAGGAAAAACCCACTAGCAGCTACAGCATTTAAGACAAGTTTTCTAGAAAAATGAGATGAATTTTTTCCGAACGGTGAAAAGTGAAGTTTAAGGGTTCTTCTTATTTAGTAAGCAATTGCAATTGCAGTTTACTTTTTTGAATTTTTCTACTAAAGTTCCTTACTCCACAAGCTATTATTTTTGACAAATTCAGCCAGAATAAAAAATAATATCATGAAGAGAGAGAAAGGAATAAAATCGTTAGAAAAGCAAGCAGTTAAGTTCAGAAAAAAAGCATTGCAATCCCATGAAAATGCATATTTTTTCAATTCAATAGTATTCACTGGGAATTTGTCAGTGAGAAATGTGACGATAACGACAATGACGATAATAAAATAACCATTGCATAATGATAATGTCAGGTGAGATGCTACTGCATGGCCTTTATCAACATTCCTCATTCTTTGTATGTTAGAGGCAAAGGAAGATGAAGGAGAAAAAAAATCAAAGATTGTAATCAAATAGATGCATGTTTTAATTTGACATGTTTGAATGAGTCACATCACCATTTTTGAATGATAAAATTTAAAAAATTTTTCCACGCACAAACGGAAAAAGCTTACAGAATCAGAAAATCAAAGAAAGCTATAGTATTTGCCTCTTAAAGGACTGTTTTCATATCATTTTCTACTGTTCACATAATATTCAAAACAGACTTTCGGATTCCTTTCGTCTCAATTCGTCACTTTGTAGAAGAATTACAAGTACCGACTGTCTTGTCAAAACTTTCAATCAAAAACTACTGTGATCGATCAGAATACAGTGAAGTAGGATACTTCAGGAAGCACTGATAAAAAATATAGACATAACTCTCCAAATCTTAGGAGAACATTTTTAATGGTAGAGCTAAAAGATGAAAAAGAATATGGAGATTAGAAAATGAGTGAAATTAATATGAAATAAGATACCTCATTAAGGCTTGATAACTGGAAGAAAGGGTGTGAGACAGAAGCGACCCGAAATTAACAAATTAATGCGGATTTTTGGTAGTAAGATAATGTAAATGCAGACGATAATGACTTCATCCTTTAAGTTATGAAGAAAATTCTAACAAAATTTCAAATGCAAAAATCGGATGCACCATGAAATTTGCATTTGAATGCTCAGAATTTGACAATTCATGCGAAGGAAAGAAAGAGGGAGAGAAGTCTTAAAATTCCGAAAATTATTCTGTTCGAATTTAGATTATTACAATAATCTAGAATTTGACACAGTGATAACAGAACTTCATCAGATCTGAATTAAATTGGATCCGAAATGCCAGAAACTTATTTCAATACAGCTAATAAGCCTAACGGAATTAGCTGAAGGAAACTATCACATACGTCAATGGACTAAAAGAATAACAGAGTTATTGATAAGACGAATAGTCTAAATGTTTAAGCTTAACTTTCTTAATTGCAGTTTAACATAAAGGTTCAAGATAATTAATTCATTATTTATCATGGAAAGAAGAGATAATCAGTTGGTTAATATTAAGACCCCTAGCTAGTCCCAGGATAACTTCAGGTGAGCTGAGAAATGTCTTCTGAAATTTTCAGATCTGTATTCTCATATCTTTTGACTTATTACAGAAAATGCCACTTCCAACCTACAACAAAGTGATCGGTTAACTTCACCAAAACTCGAGGCATTTGACAATAATCTCTTATTGATTAAACCGTTTGAATATAAAATAGCATATTTCATTAATGGAATTGTGTCATATTTGACATCCGCTTTTTTTATTTTTTAAATCTTTTTTCCCTAAATTAATAATTTAAAATTAAACATAAAGTTTGTCTTGAAGTTTCAATCTCAACTGATCGAATAGATACTGTTATAAAGTAAATGAAGAATTGAGATCGACAAAAAGTACACTTAACAAAAGAAGAAATGAAATATAGAAAATGAGTTCTTATTACAAATAAGAAGTATGATAAACATTCCTTTAATACTTTACATTGATCCCTGTCTGTAACGAACAAA